TCTACATTGATTTCGTGACCAATTACGGCCTGGGTGCCATAACTTTAGTTTTTTTGATATATCCATTTTTATCATGCGCTTCTGGTTTGAACGAAAAGCTGTGATGATAACATTGGCAGTACGCCGGTCGTAAATGACTAAGCAGGAAACCCTGGTATTTGCAGTGTTTTTGTGCGTTTTTCGTGTGCACCTTGGTTTCGTGACCCATTAAATTACCGCCTGGGCACCAGGACTTGCGGTTTTCCTATACTGTTCTTGTTTTTGTTAAAGCCTGTTTTTTGTACGGAAAACTCTTGCAAGAACATTGGGAGCAATGATTGCTTGTGAGTATGGCACATCAAGCTCCGAACTTTAATGCTCTCTTCACATTCCTATCCCCACATAATCATATCCATGAAAACAACGGCAACAGACTCATTCTATAAACTTACAAGACCAATGACAACAATATCAAGAATAACAGCATCAGGAGTGCTGATTGCTTAGGAGTATGGCACATCAAGCTCCGAGGTTCCCAAGCCCTTAAATTGTAAACTCTCAACCGTTTTCCTTTCAACCCTAAAGATTCCTATCCCCACATATGAATATCCATAGATGCAAAGGCAACAGACTTGTACCTATACCCTCGAGAGCCGAAAATAGCCATTTTATGGCGCTCAGGTGGGAGGGCTTCTGTTTCTCAAAAACCATACCCCTCGTGTGGTTTTCAAACAACACATGCTAAAATAATGTACCGTCAAAAAACCACACGGCGCCCACTACTACTACTACTACTACTACTACTACTTATTACTATGACTATGACTATTACTATTCCTATTCCAATTAGTATTACTATTAGTGCAGCAGCTGCTACTGTTACTGTTCTTTGCAAGACAACGCATCTACGCGGACCTTTATCCTGCTATATCCTGCTCAGAAGCCCACAGGGCACCAAGTTGATCAGGGCCTTCCACGTGAGCAGCAGGGCCATCAACACCTTCATCGCTACCATGGCTTCGACAAGCTGAGGTTGCGCAAACACACGATAGCTGCGGCATTTAGCCCCTGCAAGACGCAGTGCAAACCTCAAAAATACAGCCCTTCACCCTGGCACTGGTGCCTGTTCGGAAGCATAATCCAGACATCTAAATTCTGAAGCGACAGCACTCCCCGAAACGACACCTACTGAGAAGAACCCTCCGCAAAGAGGCTTTGAAGTAAGCCTTCTCTATCAGACAAGAAGGAGCCTATTGGCCCTTTTTTCAGGTTCCGGGGTAATGGCAACTCCCTTTGCAAACGACATCTTTGGATGAGGTAAATCTCTACCAAGTAGGTCTTGATTGTGATTGGCCATCTTCATCTTGGACACACTGGCCTAAAACTTGTATAGGGGTATAATATAAGGGCTATATAGGGATAATGGAAAGAACATGGAAACTACTATTTAGGGTTTAGGAGGGATTCTTGTCATCCTTATTACTACTACTTTTGATTACTAGAGGGATTATTACTACAGGGGTTTCAGAGGAATGCTTGTCCCAAGCTGTCAGGCTTCTACACCCTGGCACCTAAGCCCGAAACCCAAAACCCGAAAGCTTGGCTTCGTCAAAGCCCTCACTTCTAAGAGTTTGAAGTTCACAGCGTGGCATCATCACATAACCTTTAATAATACTGAATCCTCTCGTGGTATTTGTTCAAAGCCTAAATACCTGTATGTCAACATTTACATATATATATATACACGTATTGAGATGTTCAAAGAGAATTATAAACTACAGTCGCAAGGTTACTACATGATGTCATACTGCGTGCCCAGCATGCGCAAAGTTGTATGTGAGGCGGCACGCTTTTTATCACCCACCTCTTGTGAATGACGAAAAAATACTTGCTGCTTTCTGCCTCTGCTTTATGCTTTGGTTCTAGAAGTCCTGTATCATAGGCGGAGTCCTCAGAACGACCTCTAAACTCCTCATATGAACTTCATTTATCCCGGTTAGCCCCCACATATCCCTACCCCCCGTGGAGACAACACCATATGTGGCCACTTGCTTGAAAGCCCTCATGCCGGGCGTTGCTCTTGCCTTTTATGGTAACCTAGACCCCGATTAATAAACCCCCTCCCCTGAATAGGTTAAGGCCCTTAAAAGGAGGGGGGTTATCAATCAACGGTCTACATTACTGACTATTCAGCGTCACGAGCAACTTAGCACCCTGTTGCAAAAATGCCATGGGTGGAGGAGGAGCACTAGACGGAAATCACATATTACTGGACAAATGTATTTTCCTAAACCCTAAACCCCTAAACCCTAATATTCTGCTTTCCTCTCTCAGGGTTTAGGGCCTGGGACTTGAGTTGCAGGATGCGTCTCATAATCCCTAGAACCCCTAGATAAACCCAGCTTCCATTTCATGCTCAATTTCTCTGTCCACTTGACTCTCCATTATCTTCTATGCCAAACTCTGAGCAGTGCTGCCAATGCTTTTAGTCCCGCGCGGTGCCTTGGAAAGATTGCAAGAAAATGGCTACGAACACGAAAATTTGGCGAAGAAACGTTGCATAGTGCAGCTCTGAAACGGGTTTGATATTGTCAGCGGATCAGTGCAGAGTCCATGCTGCAGTTTTGGACTTCAAGCCAAGCCGAGTCTTAAGCTCAGTGAACCTTTAATTTCAAAACGTGGGGCTTTGTAGCATATGGTAGTTTCCCTAAATTACTGTTCCCAAAATGGGGGAAATTTATATAGGGCCCCGTACTATAATGGGAACCCAAATATAGGACCCCGTATTATAGGGAATTTAGACCAATACCCATATGGTGAAAGCCTTTGCGTAGTTGTTTTGGGGTGGCTTCTTCATGCCCCCGTGCCAGTACTGACTTAAAGCCTGCATGCAGGCTTTGGGATTCGACTTGACTTTATAGTCCCGCTTAAGTAGATAGAATATTGATTTGGGTATAGGGGGACCCTACACCCTAAACCCCATATACCCTATATTCTATCTACTTAAGGGGGCCTATAGTCTGGTAAGCGTCCAGCACAAGACGTCGGGCATCCCCGACTCTGGCTTTTAATCAGCATCACGAGCGTAAGAACCGTCAACCGTCATGTTGCAGGACAGAAATATCGCAGGTTGTCAAAAACACGGTCCCTTTTTGTCCCCCTTTTCGGACCTCCAGTACAACGTAAAACATGGGGTACCCAACATGTGACAAACAAGTTGACAACTCACCATATTCAACGCGTCTTTAATGCAGCAGCGGGATTCTTGCAGCTGATCCACAGGTAAGTGAAGAGAGGCACTCCTCAACATACGACTCATGCGGCCTTCGACCTCCTCTTGATGCCTGCGCAAGAGCTTACACCTGTGATTTCAACCCTATACCTGGAAGCTGGAGTACATAGCACAGACCTGGAGGAGGGCAGCCGCCCGAAAATCGCCACATGACTGGCCAGGCTCCACTGGTTTTTCAGGCGCTGGGTGCCCGGTTGAGGGTTCAGGAACGGCAGTTTCGTTCCATTGGCTCTGTCCAGGATTTCTTGAACCGGAGGGGCTACAGATAGGTGCAAGCCTGTGAACCCTAAACACTAAACGCTACCACATTAGAAATATATACCTGCTATTTGCTTAAGAACCCTTAAAACAATTTTTAAAACATAACAATACCCGTATTACCGTTATAAGGAAGAATTACCTTGTTTTTCGGGTGGTTCTGAAGCAAATAGTAGGTACTCTACACATATGATACAGCCCGACACATTCTGGGTTTCCTCCGATGTATCTCAACCTCCGAGTCAAACCAAAGGAAAAGGTTCAAGGCTTACGTCAGATCCCTAATATAGGGATAATGGAAAATAAAATGGAAACTACTATATGGGTTATATAGGGATCATACCGTGGTTATAAGTAGTTGTCTAACAACTCCAATCCCCATCATCCACTATATGCCCCAGCATGAGCAGTAGTCTGATTTCCTAGTATCCTTCTTAAAATCCCTCTATATAACCCCTCTTTAAGGAGTTTAGACCTAAACCCCAAACCCCTATATGATCCCTTATATGAGCCCCTTTAAGCAGTTAAGACCCTAAACTCTATATAACCCCCCTTTAAGGAGTTCGGACCCTAAATTCTAACCCTGTATAACCTCCATTTGGTCACATTCCTAGACCCCAGAAGCCCAAAACCTTGAACCCCTAAACCGCCCAAACCCCCTAAACCTGCTGACATAAAATCCAAGAACCTGTGGTCTCCTTAGACCCATAATAAAACTATTATCTTTAACAATTCCTTAGGGCTGTACTATAACCCTAAACCCTAAACCCTAAACATAAAATCTAAGAGCGGGGTGTGGTAGCCTGGCCTGCTCTCTTGGAGAGTGCGTCACTACGTCGTCTGCCCAGCCCGGTGGCTTTAGGGATTTAGGGGTTTAGGGTTTAGCGTTTAGTGGATTTAGTTTTAGGGCTTAGGGGTTTCAGGTTTAGGATTTAGGGCGGTTAGGGTTTAGGGTGCAGGGTCCCGCTGCACGCTTAGGGTTTACAGTTTGGGGCTTCGGGTCATTTATCTGGACCTGAAAATCAGAAAATCATGGCCTAAACCAGTTTAGGGTAAACCGCCCCAAAAGGAGCTAAAAAGGCTCTTATTCTACTCTCAAGGTATGGGTACGAGGTGAAGTGGCCAAGAATTCGCCTTCCAATGATTCTCGCGGCTTCTGGCACATGTATGAGAAGTATAATCCCCTTCCCTAATATTTGAGGGTTCAGGGCTTAGTGCTGTTAATCCCCTCCCTAAAAGAATACTTTTCCACCCGTTACTAAATGGTGCATGTTGGGGGCAGTCGGGGTGGGGGTCATTCGCGTTCTTATTACGAATATTGCGGAGGAGAGGCGTTGCATTGTCATTGGTTCTCAAACTGCAGAGGAAATGCTATACACCATAAATTCGGAGCATGCGCGAACTACTTCTTGACGGCCCGCATCATGCCATAGACCATGAGGCCACTCACCATGGACTTGTGGAACTTCTCCAGTGTGTACACCTGGAGGGGATATGGGGGTTCTGTAGGGGCTTTAGGGTTCCCTGTAAGGGTGATGTAGGGGTTATAGGAAGACTTGGGTCTATGGGGGTTTAGTCCGCTTTGGGGTTTAGCATCTATGGGGCTAAGGATCAAGTTCAGGGGCGCGCACCTCTGCAAGCGCTTTAGATGATGTTAGGGTCACAGGTGCACAGGTTTAGGGTGTACGCACTAGAAAGCCCCGAGACACATGGGCTTAATGACTGCTTCGTAGATGCGTTGGTCAACAATCTGGGTTGCTGTTCAACAACTTAAATTAAATTACCATAATGGGTATACATAGTAATCAGTATGGTTTCCCCAACATGACAACTTCTGCTAATAAGTTCCTCAGCGGCAACCCAACAATTAGAGTCGCCGTTCACATTCAGAGCACCCAATGTGCCCAAATCACCGCTGGGTTTGCTTGGGCCGGGTGGTTCGGCCTTGGCCCTAGATAGGGATTCCCCAAAATTAGGGGTACCTTTCTTGGGTGGGTCCCCGTAATATCTTTTTCTGGGGGGGGTCCCCATAATAGCGAAATTTTCAAATTTTGGCGTCTATATTGGGGTCGCCCTATTTAATTAGGGAAGCTACTGGATGTTAGGGCAGCAATGCAACACTGCGGAGACTGGACAGGCATCAATGCACTTCAAGCTATCAACGTTATGGTGGCAGTTCTGGGCCCTGGAAGCCACATTCAGGATTCAGGGTTCATCATGCCCCTAGGCCCCTTGTGAAAAAATTGCGGCGATGCTGCTGCTAGCTTACAGCTCTTCTCTGACTGGGAGGAGTTTAGCCAGAGCAAGCGTTCATGCGAGGCGGGAAGCACCCCACGCTTTCAATGAACGGATGGTCACACTCACTGGCAAGGTTGCTTCAAGCGCAAACAGTTCTGGGACGTAATGCCTTGCTCCGCACTGAAACAGGCTCTTTCCAAGGTGGCTGCGCCACGGTCCTGGAACTCGCCGTGGCCAATCTGATGACGAGAAGTTTCGCAGCGCTGGTTGCAGAGTTACATAAGTGCAACTTTGCCCATTGGCGCCAGGGCTAGTTTTTTGCCAGGTGTCCATTCTGGGGGGAATGCCAGGGACTCTCGGCCAACGCTCGGCAGAGCTTAAACCTGACTTTGCTCCAGTGCATTCTCGGCTTTCTCATTCATCGGCGGCATGAGCCGGAGGCTCTAAAACTGAAGCTCACGACAGGCAGGCACAACTTGACAATGGAACGAATGCTACAGTACATCTGCTGGAAGCGGGGCGCCTCGCGCAGGAAACCGATGAAGGCACCAGGGCCTTTCCTTCAATCACGGGAGGCTTTGCCAATCTGCCCAAAAACTGCTCCCGAACCCTGCAGTTCCTGTACGGCACCAATCAAGTTCAGGAAAATCCCATGGGGATAGCATTGCCGATCCCAAGAATTGAACCTGCAGAGCGCTTCACCCTTTTACAAAGCCCGGCAGGTCTCTCAGACTCTTGCCAGCAGACACTTATGCAATCCCCACACCTGTAGTCCCCCTTAAGTAGATAGCATGTAGGGTATATGGGGATCTTTATATAAAATACCCAAAGCCATATGCTATCTACTGAAGGGGGACTAAAATCCCCTGCCCACAATCTCAAAACCCTCCATTCGACTAATATCAAATATTCCACAATATCATGGTATGCGGTCTATGGGAATGTCTAGTGCGGGGGGGGGGGGGGGGGGGG